GAAGTGGAGGTCCACTCCTTCCCCAGTCCTCCGACATAAAGGGTTTGATCTTTGACTGAAAGCCACTCGCATTTGAATCCTTTGGGAGTATTTCCGTCGCCGTCCGTAAGTATAACCCACGGAATGGCCGACTCGTCGCGGATCTCATACAACACGCCTGTCCTATCATCACATGAATAGAGTTTGCCGTTGAAGACAATGAGTTCCGACAACTCCATGGCTCGTCCCTCCGATGAGAGACTCGATTGCAAACTAATGGACCGCTTATCCCACTTGACCTGAACGTAGTCTTCGTTGGGATAGTAAATGAGATAACCTTTTAATAAATAACTAATCCATGCGTTGCGCTGAGTGTCGGTGCGGGAGTCGGTGTCCAAGTCTGTGATGACAGCGATTCTGAACTTAATCCTCTCGTCGGACACGTATTCGGGTCTTGAGAGCGGATAAGTGGCGTTATATGCGGACCGTGTGTTGCAGTCCTTGTGGTGATGGATGTGCTGGTGATCATCGTCTAAGTGTTGGTGTTGTGTCGAGTCGTTCAGAGTGACCCGACTCTTAGGCACCAATGAATACAAGACAAAGAGGACCACAATACCGGCGATGGAGACTACGGTCACGAACTGTGTCTGAAGTCTTAGCGTATTATTAGTGACAGAGTATGAGATGGGAGTGCGAACTGCTTTACGCCAATCACTCATCACTTCCAGCACTTCCAACACATCCACAGGTGTCGACCAATCAATTCGTTGCCAACATTTCACACAATTGTTTGCTTTTTGACACAAATATTTCAAATGCTTTTGACGTTCACTCGAAACACATATTTATAGCGAAAACTTGCGATGAGATTACAATGCAATCAATGAATGGATTGTAGAAAACGATACTATTGTACGAAAAGTGTATTCAAATGAAATCACAGAAAATGCTATCAAATGTACAAATATTGAGACAATTTATTAATACAATAAATAACACATTAATTCAAACATTACAATGACTGCCAACAGATGGCAAACACACTATGAAATAGTTTTTTAAATTTTATTTCTTTTCATAAATTGACTTCAAAATTCAAATTCAATTGCAATGGTTAACTTCAGTTTAAATGCACTATAATTGCAGTCATTTAGTAATAATTGGGTCAATAATTATATGCCAAATAAGCGCTAAAGTAATTGAAGTAAATTCTTATCAAAAATAACAAAATTTGATGTCTTATTAGTCCTATAGTTTTAAAAATTAAAATGTTTTAATTGTTAGCCATCTAATTAAGAGGATTTTAAACTTTTATTTTAATAAACCAGAAGTAAATTATATACACTCTTATGAGACAAGTGTCCAAAAAAGTGCTTGTTTTCCGGAATATGAACTTTAAATTTCAATTAACTGAATAATATACTGGTTTGTTATACAATAACCAAAATACAGGTACAATTTTATAGTGATCTTATCTTTACAATGATTTCTTATGTCAATTCACTCATTATTATACCATATTCTGCGTTAAATTTAATTTTAATTAAAATTGGCTTTCAGTCAAAATTGTGTGAAATGTGTGGTAACTCGCAGTACACCAACAAGTGAATCAAAGTTGCTTTAAACATACCTTTTAAATACAGTATAAAATACACAATAATAATATATTACTGTATACACTCTAATATATTCTTTAAATATTATACACCATTTATTTCCTATTAGAATTCTTATAGAAAATTCATTTTTTATAATAATTTGACATTACATTAAAATTTTTACAAAACTATACATTGTATTATAAACCATAATGTATATAAAAATGCATTACATTTATATGGTATTCAATTAGTCTAGAAAAAAGTTAGTTCTAATATTTATATCAATTTGTCTATTTAAGATTTTCAAAGTGATTAAAATAAATGTTTTATCATAAGAAATAATTTTAGATTTTGTATATTTCTGAAATGTAACCAATAATTGAATTAAATTTGAATGTTTCATTTGAATTTTTATCTACTGCTAAAAATAAACTCAAATTAAATTTCCAAAAAAAAAATTTTATATTTATTACAAATTTTTAAATCGATTATATGATCGAAATTTTAGAGCAAAAACTTTAGAATTAGAAAACTGATGAATGCATTGCGAAAAGTAATAAAAACTTATTCTATATTAAAAAGTATTTTAATACATTCCTCTTTTATTTAATAATAATATATTGTTATCTAAACTATAGTCGAAACGAATCGTGGAATTAATGCTTGAGTTTGAGCTAAATATACCAAATTTTGTTGTATAATACTATACCTGTATTGTGAGAGAATAGACGGCAACAATAAAATGAGAATTTTATATTTGCTTACAAGTTATGCTTTTGATAACCAACTAATAATTTAATAATATTGTGTTTTTGTCAGTATTCATTCAATAATTTAATTNTATAATACTATACCTGTATTGTGAGAGAATAGACGGCAACAATAAAATGAGAATTTTATATTTGCTTACAAGTTATGCTTTTGATAACCAACTAATAATTTAATAATATTGTGTTTTTGTCAGTATTCATTCAATAATTTAATTTATTTCGGTTTTATTCTGAACAGATTTTATACAATAGAGTTATAAATCTTTTTTATATTGAATAAGATCTACATATAATTATATTATAGTTAACAATAATCGCTAAATTATTATGGTATATCTTAGTATAATAGTACCAAATATTTAACTTTTTATTTCTTTATCACCAAAAGCCATTATCCCATTTTAATATGTTTAAATTAGATTAATCATATTTTAAATACAGTAATACTAAAATAATGTATACAAATTTATAAATCTAAAATAAATATCGACTTACTGTACAGAATCTGTACTACAGATTAGTCTAATTAATTAGACTGTCTGTATACTGTACTGTAATACTAATATTATGCAGCATGTCTAATATTACTATAGCACAATAAAATATTATTTGATTTAAATTATAAATTTTATTTTAATTATTAATATGAATACCATAAAAATATATGATAAAACTGGGTGTTATTCAAAGTATACAGTATAAGTAATATTATTATAATTTGTTGGATATAATTTATTTATTTAGGTAAAATTTAATACCGGTATATCGTAAGCCATCTTATTATGAATTATATCCGTATAAATAATGTGTTATAATAAACTTATTTTAAAATTATTTATTTAAATTCTTGTTACTGTGTGATAATTTAATTTAATTTAATTTAATTTAATAGTTAATTAATGATTTAATTAGATCATATACTAAGTTCATATACTAATAATTTATTATAAAAAAGACTTTTATTTAAGATGTTATTTATACCGTTCATATAAAAAAATTTTATATAATATATTAATTTAATTGGAAAACATTAATTTAATATTTGCTCTGATTTTATTCAAATTTTTTAATATGTAAACTACTAAATGTTTAGTCTGCATAAAATAAAAGCCAATATGTTAGACATGGATTCATTTTACGAAGAACTTGTTTACAT